AAAAAAAAAAAAAAAAAAACTAACCTATAACTCGTGCTTTATGTAAGCATTCAGTCTAGCTAAGATTGAGAAAAAAGCAAGGTTGTCCTTTCTCATTGCTCTTATTCAACACATACTGAAAGTTTCAGTGCAATAAGACAATTAAAAGAAACAAAACCCATACACATTAGAAAGGAAACATTAGCATCACAAAGAAAAAGAGCAAGAAGACACAAATCGCTCGTATCAGGAATGAACGAGGAGACATCACTACTGACCCTACAAACATCAACATGATAATACGGGAACACTGTGAACAACTCTACCCACGGAGATTTTACAACTTAGATGAAATGGACCAATTCTCTGAAAAATACGCTCTATCACAACTTATTCAATATGAACTAGATCACTTGAATAGCCCTTACAACTATTAAGGAAATTGAATTTTTAATTGAAAATCTACCATAAAGATATATCTTGGGGTGCAGATAGTGTCACAAGGAGTTTACCCAAATGCTTAAAGAAGAATTCGCACTAATGCCACACAATCTGTTGCATAACATAGAAGAGGCAGTAACACTTCTTAATTCACTTTATGAAGCCAGTATTATTACCCTGACACCAAAATCGCATAAACCCAGTAATAAAGGGTGGGGGGTCAGAGTGACTGTAGCCTAGCGTTTCTCATTATTATAGATGTGACAATCCTTAACAAAATCTTAGCAAACAGATTTCGGCAATATACAACAATAACTGTACACCATGAATAAGAAGGGTTTACACCGGGGAGGAGAGGTGGGTTCCACATTTAAAAATCAATTTCTGTAACCCACCATATTACCAGGCTAACAAAGAAAAAAACATAGGATCATATCAATCAATACAGAAAATGCGTTTCACAAAATTCAATATCTGCTCATATTTTTTTTCCAAAAACTCAGAAAAGTAAAACTAGAGAGGAGCTTCCTTAGCTTGATAAAGAACATCCACAAAAAAACTTACAATTGATACTATACCCAACTGTGAACGACCGAACGCATTCCCTCGTGGTCAGTTCCAGTGGCCGTAACACAACATGGCACACTGAGTTGCTTGAACAACAAACATTTATTTTTGCAGTTCTGGGAATGGCCAGAAAAGGAGCAGAGTGCCGGCAGATTTCACGTCTGGTGGGGGGTCTCTTCCTGGTTTGCAGGTGGCCACCTTCTTGCTGTATCCTCACGAGGTAGGGAGAAAAGTCTCATCTCTCTCCTATGAAACCCTAAGGCCCCCCATGGCTGAACAGACCCCTCTTGGCCAAGCAGACCACGAAATAACCTTGAAAACTGAGTTCTAATCCATCACAGGATGGGGGGGTCAGACACTCCTCCTTATCACCCCGACCCCCTGTACACAGTCACTGCCATTAGACTTTTTTCCCTAAGGGCTAATTAGAAACGAGCCCTTTCAAAAGACTCCACTGCTGGTATCAATCAAGCACCTGACGCTGCTTCTCCCTTTTTTTTTTTTTTTTTTTGTTTCAATGCAATCGCTCAGCATTCCTTCCTAATTAGAGACCGCTGACCGCAGAGGGGTTCTGGCTGGTCTGCGCGGAACGGCATAAAGCTCCCTTGCTCATGCGTGTTTCTCCTTTCATAAATCTTCCTACAGCGTATTAAATAGGTACATTCAGCCACTCTACTGAGCATAAATTCCTGCTCCGTTTTCCTCTCTGTGGAAACGCCTGTTTCTGGCTTCTGGCCTAAGGCAACACTTCTCGGCCTGTCAGAATGGCCACCCTGCAGACTGAACCCCTTAGGAGAAATAAACTCTCCTTTCCAAATATACAGACCTCGTCATTCTTCAGTCGATATGATTGGTGATGAGGAAGAGCCTCAGGTTCTCCCAGCATGACTGGAAGTCAATGCACCGTCTTCAGCTCAGCTGTCTCCCCGGCTGGTCACACAGGGAGGAAGCCAGGTGAGGTCTCCGGGATCTGAGATCTCCTGCTTTTAGGTTCAAGACTTCAGAGACTTTTATTTCTCTCCACCCCGTTCCTTTATTTCTCCCTGTTTCCTTCCCAGTCCCTGTCCTGGTTCCCTCCAGCTAGACTCTGGAGGGAACGTTTCCGTTGGCTCTGGGTTTAGGAGGGGACCTTCCCAGTCCAGTCAGACTCAGCCGGTCCATAAGGTTTTATGAGGACTCTCCTGCTAAGGACACTCGAAGGGGCCCTTCCTAA